AGCAAAGGCCAAAGAGAACATTTTCAGAAGCACTGGCTTTTAACTTGCTGTCACTCTGGGGATGCCCGGCTGAAGGCACTGAACCACAGGTACTCCGAAACGAACACATGTAAAGAAACAGAGCAAAACCAAACCCGAATTTGCCAGTTTCTGGATTGTAGGTCAGAACCACACTACTGGCCAAAAACACAGGTTGCCTTAGCTCTCCCTTCTCACAGTAAGCAGGTTATTAGGAAAGCTTCTGTCAGGAGACTTCAGGAGGCACGCTCACAAAGAGACAGGTAACTTTTCGAAAAGCCAGGAACATCACTTCTGTGTAACTGTACAAGACTTCATCTGCTGGTTATCAGCATTTCTATCAGCACAGCACTGCTTAGCCACCTCCCTCCGAAAGGCACTTTGAGATGCAAGGTGCAATATGCATGTAAATTATCATTAAGGCATCCTCTGTTTCACTGGGGCATTTTCAGATTGGGGCTGCTGTTCTAATGGGTTGCCTCCCAGGAAACTGACTTCACCTGTAATGACACAGTGAATGCTAATGACCAGTGCTTAATTGGGGCAGTGTTAGTAAAATTTTGCTTCAGAGGGATTCAATTTAGCTGGTGCCAAGGAGTTAAGTGATTAATCAGATGTTAAATAGTATGTACTTCTCCCATTCAAACCTACACCCACTGAACTTAATGAGAGTTTTGTCATTGACACTAACATAAGAAGGAGCCTCCTTCTTGTACATAAGTCCCCTAATAAACACTAAGGAACATCTCTGTACTAGCAGATACTCAGCCTTGGTTAAGGGTAACAGAATTCTGGCCATGTGGTGCTGAACAGTCCCTCAGCATGGAAAGCATTTGGTGGGAGAGCGCTCTTTGCAAAAACAGCATCGATGAAGTATTAGGGGACATAAAGCACTACTTAAAAATTAATCTGGGGAAGCCAGTTAAGACTGAAAGCTCAAACACTCTGCTGATTCTTTGCCCTTTGGCTTACACCATCACTCTTTTTCCCCCTTCTTCCTTTTTTAAATGATTACAAAGTACATCCTTGAATCCAAAATAAGCACCAGTGAGACAAGACCTCGAGCTACAGAATTCTGTGCTGACTCCTGCAGTGCCCATGCGATCGCAAGGACCACCACATACAACTTACTGCAAGAGAAAGCTCTCCCTTCCACCAGCATACAGCTGCATAAAATCTCCACCGGAGTCAGTTGTGAAACCCAATTCACAGGAAGGCTCTGTGCCTTCAGTGCTGCCCACCAAAAGCACTCTCAGCTCAAGTATCAGCCAAGCACACACAGGGGAGCCTAGGCTAGGAGCAGCCCTGGACTGGGAGATTTTAGGCAGCTGGTCCCCCCCATATTCCCAGTTTCAGTTCCCCCACAACTCTATACTTCTGCCAGCACAATTGTTTGTGGTAGCGTGGCAAATCGAATTGAGCAACTGAAATTACCAGATTTATAAAAAGGAAAATAAATCACACTGCACCCTTTGGTATCCTTCTATTTGCCTGATGAATTTTGAGCCTCCATGTGACACCATGGTGATATTTTCAAGGTATTAAGAATTCAAGGGGAAAACAAGGAGATCCTCATAATCAGAAAGTTCCAGGTGAGGTTTTAAACAGAACTCATCACCACGTGGACCTTAATTCACAACAAAAATCATCACCTTTGTCTAAACTTCTTGCCCTGTCTCCCTTTGAGCTTTTGCCCTCCTATAAGCTTTTGCCAAGATGTTTACACTCTCCCTGTGCCTCAGTTCTCCCACCTGGGGGAGGAGAGGTGAGGCTGTAAGGATCACTTGCCAATACCATAACGAGTGCCAACGTCATGTCAGTATATACAATACTATAATCAGCTAACTATTATGGCTCAGGATCAGAGGAACAGGTTTACTACCAACGTAGACATCCCAGCACCTGGGATGAAAAAGCCTGTCCAAATACGACGACCACACCACATGTCCCTTCCCAACCCACCTCGGAATCAAAGCCCTCAGGTGCTTTCAGACCGGAGCACGCCACAAGCCCGAAGGCTGCTGGTTCACACAGGGGGTACGCTGACACCCTAAGCTGTAACAAACACTGAGAGTCCAACCTTCACACTCACCTCTGACACCCAAGATCTGTCTCTAACTCCAGCGATGACTTCTCTCTGCAGCTTTAGACTCTTTCTGCAGACGCTTAACTTCCTTGCCACAACAGCATGGTTGGAGTTACTGGGTCTGCTTGCCATCAGTCAGGCAAGCACACACCCAAGCGTTGGCAAGATCAGGATATTAGCATTGGGTTTCTCCTCTCTCGGAGGAAAAGAATGTAAGGAAGCACACGTACTTGCCGCAAAGCGAGCACATATCAATATACAATCACACATACATACTGATAAGTACTCGACACAAACCGAGATATTACTGCAAGTTCATGTTGATTATCAGTAATTAAATATATACCAAAACTTCATCTCCTTTGAGCTTTCCTACATCTTATTGAAGCACTTCTTTAGTAAGGTGAGATGGCGAGACCATGCACTGAGCAGCTTGGGCATAAACAAAGCAGCAGCCTTCCCTCCCTCTGCTGAAGCTGTCTGTGGTTCATCACCTCAGTTGCTGTGGCGTTTACTGCACGCAACCTTGATCCGTATTGCAGGAGGCAGGGAAAAAAAAAACAAATCATACAGAATACATCCTCTAGCACCACTGCTTCCAGTTCACAGGCTCCTAATGAAGCTCTGCAGCACCCTCACAGCACAACGCTTGGCTACTTGTCAGAACAACACAGCAGCTTAGCACCAAAGTCGGAGTACAGTGAGGAGCTTGCTCCTCTGCCCCGACCTCATGCTCTGCAGGCCAGGCTGAAATGCTACAGAAATCATCACTCGTAACTGTATAATCACAACACCTCTTAAATCCAGCTGCTGACTGCAGCCACCTCTAACTCCTCCTGGATGAAACAAGCATCCAGAAAGCAATGGTTGTTAGAAAAAAACAAAGAGAAAATTACCCTGAATAGTTTGACTGGTGAATAAATGTTATCACTGGAAATTCACACTTCGGTCTGAAAATACGTACTTTCTACGTTTGAAACTAGTAAAACAATCCCCCAAAAAGCTGGTAGCAGTAGTTTCTGTTCTCTGACAAAGATAACTGCACGAGTCAGCATGTAAACAAACTACACACTGCAAAATCAAAATAAGTTCAGACCATGATCTTTAGAATCAGTCACTTCAGAAACACATCAGATTGCCACTATCTGCCTAAACATAATGAAAACTTGGCATTTAATCACTTCAAGACTCAAACAGAAGTTTGCTTGTACCTCCTCCTGCTATGTAGCAAATCCCTTACAGATGATCCTGTCACATACCTCAGCGAGGCTAGCGAAGGACCAGCTTTACTGTTCCCAAAATCAACAACAGTGCTATCACCAACTTCGGTAAGAGCAGAAGTAAACCTCGTATTCTCAAAACGATACACATCAAAACCAAGGAAACACAACTCATATGACACTACTTTTTCATGGCATGCATTTGCATTCTTCTGTCCAGAGAACACATCCTACCTTTCCACAGGATTTACTAATAAAAACAGCAATTGTATTTCATTTTACATACATATACATATAGGGATCTGCTTAGTTAATTGTACGCGTTTTGCCTGCACTAGCATTTTACCACCCTGCAATGCGCATACAATACCCCATTATCCAATTTGTCCGTCTGCATTATGAAAAGTCCAACTAGACTCTCTGCACCACGAGACTTCACGGGACATGGGCCTGATCCCATTTAACTCAGCAAGAGAAAATACACCCCCAACTTTTCAAACTGAGGTCACAGCATATAGAACATAAGACTCCCATCATAAATGTACACAAACTGGGACAAGCAAACAAAAAAGCATCATGGTGAGTAAATACGTGTTCATTCATGGCTCTTTCCCTTACAGCCTGGAAGTCACCTTTTCCTGCCACTCAGGGAGAGACAACTGTTAAAGCACTCTTAACTCGGGCAGTTAATCGTGAGCAGGAGGAAGATTCCTGGCTGGCAGCAAAGCAAAGCAACTCCTCCAGAAAGCACACGACTGGAATGATACCGAGGGGTGAGGGAAGAAAACACTATTTCTAGCAGATAGGAAAGGTCTGGACAAAGAAAGGAAACTCAATTTTGTTTCCATTGTCTCAGCTTTACACCGCTTCCACTTAAAACCAGAAATTTCACGGGGCAACCCCTCCTTCCACAGGCCAAGCCACAGAGAAACGGATCCCCCAGGCCCTGGCAGCACGGGGCCGGGCTGTGCAGCCCCGGCTCCCCTGCCTGCTGATGGGCAAGAGATGCTAGTAAATGCAGTGAGTAAAAATTAATAACATGGGCATTACTAAATAAAAATGGAAAGGAAAGGAAAGGAAAGGAAAGGAAAGGAAAGGAAAGGAAAGGAAAGGAAAGGAAAGGAAAGGAAAGGAAAGGAAAGGAAAGGAAAGGAAAGGAAAGGAAAGGAAAGGAAAGGAAAGGAAAGGAAAGGAAAGGAAAGGAAAGGAAAGGAAAGGAAAGGAAAGGAAAAGGAAAGGAAAAGGAAAGGAAAGGAAAGGAAAGGAAAGGAAAGGAAAGGAAACCCCCACATCCCCGTGCTGGTGGAAGCAGCAGCGGCTGCATATCCCCGACGGCAGGAAACTTTCTGCGAAGTTGCTATCCGGGGCCGTCGGGCCACCAGCCCCGCGGGAGAGGAGAGGAGACCGGGAAGGGCTCCCCGGCTCCGTTTCAACCTCCCGTCCCGCCGCCAGCTCCTGCCGTGAGGAACAACGCCACTAAATCTCGGCCGCGGAGGCTCTGCCCTGCGTGTCCCCGAGGGGGCCTTGGGGAGGGCGGGGGGGATGCACCACGGTGACAACCGACGGGAGCCGCGTCCCTGTGTGTTCCCCGCCCGCCTCTATCGGGAGCTCCGGAATACCTCGGTCGGGGGCTGCGCGCTGACAGGGGCCGGACGGACACAGGGATGGAGCTTTACCTTGATGCAACACTGAGCAGGAGCCTCAGACATCTCTCAGCAGGGAAGCGTCGAAGCCCGGCGGGGCGGGCGGACGGACGGACGGGAAGTTCTCGGGCTTTCCCCACTTTCCGCTCCCCTCCCGGCCCGTCCCCTCAAGGGGAAGTTTCCGCCGCCACCATGGCGCAGCCCGCGGAGCTGCCCGCGGGAGAGGCGGAGTCGTCCCCCCCCTGCCGCCGGGGTCCACTCCTCAGCGGTGCCGGTGCCACCGCCAGCCGCCTCCTCCGAGTGAGCGCGATCGCTCCCGCCCCGCTGAGCGCGACTGTGCGTGCGTGTGCGTGTGTGTGTGTGTATGTATGTATGTATGTATATGTGTGTGTATATATGTGTATGTATGTATATGTGTCTGTGTGTGTGTGTGTATGTGCGTGTGCGTGACCGCGCGCGCTCTGCCCGCGTGCGGCGCGGGGGGAAATGGAAGTGGGAAAAAGGGGGGGAAGGGGGAAGAAGGGGCGGCGCTGCCGTCACGGCCCCGCTCCCCTCCCGGTGTTTTCCTTCCTGGAAGAGAGAAACCGAAAGGCGGCGGGGGAAGGGCCGGGCGCTGCGCTGCGCCCCGCCCCGCCGCCGCTCATTGATCCGGAGTTTCGGGGCCGAAACTGACGTGGGTTCCCGGCACCCCGCACCGCCCCTTAAAGGGCTCGCGTCGCCACGAACAGCCACTACCGGCGGGGAGGGACGAAGGGGAAGGCGGGGGTGCCGGTTGCCCCGTCGCAGTGGGCGCCCTCGGGTGCCCTCGGGTGCCCGTGCGGGGCGGGCAAAGCGGAGGGAAGGCTGGAAGGGCGCAGCCGCGTCGCGTCGGCTCAATTCGGTGTCGTTTGACGCCGCGGGCCCTTTAAATGCGGCGCGCCGGTACTGGCGTTCAGCGGCGGAGATGGGCAGCGGGATGAGCGAACGTGTCTGGCGGGGAGGGGAGGGATGGCAGCGGGCGGAGCGGCTGGCCCGCGGGCAGCACAATGGCCTTTGTTCCATTTGTTCCACCGCCGGAGTGGCCCCTTTAAGAGCCCCGACCAGGAAATGAGGCTCGGGTTACGGCGGGGCACGGGAAGTCCGGGGCGGAAGCACTGCCGGTCGCTGTGGTCTTGCAGCCCCACGCCTGGTCCGCTGCCCCACAGATTACCCCCCCTCCCTCCCCGCCCCGTCGGTGAGCCCCTACCCGGCGGAAGACGGCCGACCCCTCGGAGAAACGTTCTGGAGCCTGGGGCTCTGCCCATGTTTAGAGCCCGGGCCGGATAGCACCAGCGCAGAGGTCCAGGTCGGGGTTGTGTCAGCTGCAGCTCATGTGGTCCATGGTATAGCGTGTGTTGTTTTCAGCTGCAATGGAACAGGGCTGTTCTTCTGCACTCTGTGGCTCCTGCGGCCACAGGAGTGGGTACAGCCCGAGCCCTCTTCACAGGGGTGGGAGGAGGGGTTGGGAAGGCAAAACATACCTTGTCCCTCTCTTCATCTAAATCTCTCTTTGTGATTTTAGAGAGAGTTTGGATGCACTCACTTCATTGCAAGTTGGGAACGTGCGTGGGAGCACAACAGCCCTGCTTGTACCCATGTCACTGAAAGGCAGAGCAACCTCTGGAGCATGCTGGAAGGATGCTGTGCCTTGGAATACAACAGGCTCCTATTCAGTGATTCAGTGCTACTGAAAATAGCAGATGAGAGGCAATCCTACTATGGTGTTTTAAAGCAAGCCTCAGCACATATGTGGCATTTGCTTAGCTGTGGCACACTTGCATCAAATGTAGAGCTGTTTCGTCTGCATGGCCCAAAGGCTGGACTGCTGGGGTCTCCTGGTAGTTCCCTCTTGGTGGGCTACTGCAGGCCATTTTCCAGACAGGACTGACTCCGCACAGCCTCTTACAGCTTCACAGTGGCTAGTCCCTGAACTGAAACAAGGAAGGTGGAGGGAAGGTACTATTCCCTCTCAGCCTAGCAACCAATCACCCTTTTTTAACACAGGGCCAACTCAATAATAAAGGATTCATATTTACCTGTCTTCCCTCAGCATGGCTGAACTGCTGGAGTAGAGTCGCTGCATCTCTATCACTTTTACAATGCTGCTCTCCCCTATTATTCTCTCTGCTTCATCACTATGATGTTTTCCCTTTCTACCTGCACGATTACCACTGCTTTTCCCAAGTGCTGAGTCATTATTCTGTATCTCATGGCGAGTAGGGGTTCTTTTGTGATTCTTTATATTAAATGCAGAAATCAGAGATGGAAAAGACCTGCTAGGTCATCTGCTTCACTCCCCTGCAGGTAAAGGGTTTGCAGCACATGCTAGATTGCTCTGTCCGCTTTAGTTTTAAATGCCTCAGGTAATGGGGCATTTCTTTTCAAGACTCTTTCTTTTCAAGACTATTTCACACTCCAGCAAGTCCCATGGTCAGGAAGATATTTGTCCTATATTTTCATTTGTCCAGTTTCACCCAATTACGCCTGGCTATAACCAGGAGTATTGTATTGTACTGCCCTAAACAAATTTTCCTCTCTCTGGCTCTTTGTACGTTGCACCCAGACGTCACTTTTTTCCCCTAGCTGTTGCTATTCCTTCTTTTTATCTCCTTTGGTTCATCAGTCCCTTTAGCCACTTTATTATTGTCCTTGGTCTTCTCTAATTCCCATTCAATTGGTCATCTCATCCCACAGATGACCACACTTAGGTACAAGTATCTGCCTGATCCTTTGTGAATGCAGCCAAAACCCCATCATGGTTTAGTTTGTCCCCAACCTGCCTCAGAAGCTTATACAAAATTTGCCACCTGCCATTGCCCTGAATCAGAGCTGGTCCTGTTACTCCTCAGTGTTCTCTCTTGCAGTGCAACTGCAGTCTCTTTTTCTCCATGGAGGCTGGTGAAGCTGCATGTCCCGAGTGTTTATTTGTCTGCCTGGAGTTTCAACATCTGTTTCTTCCGGGTCACTGATAGCTGCTGTTCCTCCGACTTTGATTAATAGCCCTTACAAATATGGGCCTTGATCCATCTCTCAACCAGTGTGAATGGTTGCAAGTACCTGTCCAAGTTCACAGCCTGGTTTAGAGCTGTTCTCTTTCAGCTCTTTCTGCTCTTTTTTTCTACTACTCCACTAAATGTGAGAGCAATGGATGGTAACAAGAAAAGGTAGGGAGATAAACGGTGAATGTGTAGGGAAGGACACAGTCATGAGTGCAGTACCTTTCCAGCCAGAAGTTAATCCCATGGAAGCTGCTGTAAGAAAACATGACTGGACAAAATATACCACACGACCTTGCCAACAGAAGATATGCCTCAACCATGCTAGCCAGGTGCTAGCCACAGTGACTGGAGAACATCTTTGAACCCTTCGAACAAGGAGGGCCAAAGTCCTTGTAATGTGTTAGCTTGGTTCTGCCCCTGTTTCTCTGACCTGGTTTTTCATGGTTCCTCTCATTAGTTCTGTCTCTTGAGATGTCATGGTCCTGGCTGCTGCACCTTACAGGAGAAGACAACTGCTACCAAATCTGGTGAGCAGGATGACCTGTGGCTGCAGGACAGTTGCTCTGGAAATTTGAGGAGAAAGCTTCTCCCTTTAAATCCAGGCTGCATGGAGATTGCACAGAACGGAAAAGAAGTCCATTAGCTTGTATTAAACCTTGAGCAGGCTCCCAGTTAGCTTCCTTCCCTCTCACCTAGAGACTACTGCTTAGTTTATCTCCAGGGAGGAACTTTTAGTTAAAAGCAGGATTTACAATCCCACAGAGACACCCGTCATCAACAGCCTAGTCAGTAATCCCCTAACTTTCTGCTCAGATAGATGATGGCAATGCTAATTCAGGCAAAAGGTAACAGGACTCTGGCCTGTGAAGTGAGGCCAAGTCCCTGCCTTGCTTAGGGCTCTCCCGGGAAAGGAAGATGGGTGGCATGGTCGGGGACAGTAGCAGAATGAGAAAAAACAGACAAAAGTGTGTTCTTCCTCCTCATAGAGGCCTGAAAATCTGGCTTTGGATGCTTATGTTTTCTGGTCTGGAATTTGTCCCTAGAGCAAGCCCTGAAGAAAAGGAGGCAAACCAACTTTTCCTCAGGACTTTTTCATTTTCTGTCCACAGTGGTGCATCTGCATACTGCCTTCCACTAATTCTGTGTTACCTGGGCCTCTTTTTCAGCCATGAGACTCCTAGTGCTTTCCTAGGTGCACTTTCTCAACAGCTAGTTTAGCTTTTTTCCTATGTCCCTGAAGGATGTTGGAGCCTTCTTCCCAAAGGAGTTAGACACTTGGGAACCTACATCCAGCCGCAAGCCAGGGTTTTCATTTCTTCTTCTGCATGCTGGTTTTCTAGTTTCAGCAGTGTAGAGCAGTACCTCAGACATTTGCAATAATTGTTGACTTCACCTTGCTTTTATTAAGGAGACCTTGATCATGGTAGTGGGGTTTTTTTGTCTTTGTATTTACAAAAGCACTCATTAGTTCCCAATGCTTAGATATCATTAGCTCGTCCTGTTTCTCTGCTGTTATCTTTTCCTTCCCTTTATCTTTCCCCAGCACAGCTTGTCTCTCTTCTTTAGTGCTCGATTCTTTGCTTAGTTTGTATTAATAGTTTTCATTTTGTCTTCCAGTGTTTGAGCAGATACCTATAGTCCCTTGATGTGACTTGATGGGTCTGCTGACATTACTGAGCCTCAGCAGAGCTGCTCTTCCAGTTTGAAGGACAGGATCAAGCTCTTAAAGAACAAAACGCAGTAGGGAACAGTAGTAAATGCCAAGAGCGTGCAAGGGTACATTGATGTTAGCAGGCAACAGAGTTTTTGTCCTCAGGACACACCAGGAAATTCATGAGCACTGGTGCACAGAGGTGCAGTGGAAATGATCCCCATTGCACATTTAGCACTACGATTCTTTTTCCCTTATCAAATTTGCTTCTGAACCCAAATTGCATTTTATGGTCCTAGTATGTATCAGTCATGGTGCTTCCTGTCATTAGCCAGAAGATTAGCCTTCACTTCATATTCTTAGGGAAGTCCTTTTTCCAAGATTCAGCCAGGTTAATGTTTCCTTAGCTTTATAGGAATAGGCATGAAATTCAGTCTGAGGTGTTAGACTGAGAAATGCTATATCCACATTATTTGCATTCTTATTTGTTCACCTAAGAGCCTAATCTTTGAGATTCAGTTGTCCTCTAAATGCTCAGTGTTGGCTCTAGGAATAGGATTTGCACCAGTATAACAATTTTGGGAAAAGGTTTGTTTGGTTTTGTTGGGTTGGTGTTTATTTGTTTAAATCAAAAACAGCAATATTAGTGCATACCCTAAAGCTGCAGGCATTTGATATAAAGA